GGAGGGTTAGATGATCTGGAAGATCTTTCCAGCTTTAATGCTCCAAGGTCATAAGTCTTGGAGACAGATCTATCTTCCCCATCTCTGCCCCTTTCTGTGTTGTTGTCTGTGTGAGATATCTTTTAGCTCCCACTGAGCCTTCTATCAACACTATGACCTTTTGCTGCAAAGTTTCTGGTCACCCCTGAGCAAAAAGCCTGGCCAGAGAAGAGAATAAATTTGGGGCCTTATTATTAAAAACTTATCTAATACCATCTGGTCAAGCAACTCAACAGAGTCCAGGTTTGTTGGAGTATCAAGAGTTTGGATATCCCAATGTGGACCAAAAAAAGGGGGTTCTACAGAAAATAAACTCAGAGGGGCGACCTGATCATAAACTCCCAACTGGGCAGATCATGATGGGTAGTTACACTCCAGGCATACAATTTCTTTAAGTAAAAGGCTTCTCTTAAGCAAGCCCTGTCCATCTGTGTCTGTGTATTCAAGTTAACACACCTCTGAAATGCCTCTATTCAGACCCCTCCTTCTAAAGTGTGACCACCCTCAAAAAAGTATATAATCTTAACTGTCTTGTCATCAAGCCCCACCCCCACCCCTTTCCCACGACCCCCCACCCCACAGCCTCACCTTCTCCCACCTTCCTGTAATCTTGCTTTTGTTCTCTCAGTAATTCCAAACACATAAAAGAAGCTGCAAACTGTCATTTCCTGGAAGCATTTATCTCAGTCTGTTGAAATCTTGCTTTTAGGCACATCTTCTATGTGGCTCAAACATATTTTCACAATAATTCTCTATAGGTTTGGACATTCACACATCAATACCAACAACCGCTGATCCTCTGAACTAGCTTCTCTCCACTCAAGGACTTTCCCACTCACCTCCTACACCATCCAGACCCCATTGGTCCCTAACACTCTATCATAGCAGCAGACCTTTCCCCAAGCTGCTTGAAAGGATCTAAGACAGCCAAGGCAGTTCTTATCTGCTCTAGCTTGAGGGTGGACTGGAGAAGAGGTGGCAAAGCTATAAAGGAGAAAAGTATTTTCAGAAGCAAACTCTGGCCCCATGAGAAGGAAGCCAGGGGAGGAGAAGACAGAGCTAACCATGAGGACAGAGTGGGCTTGGAGAACCACAGAAACCCAAGAGGCTCCTTTAAGATGCCACAACCCTTTATGCCCCCTCTTATTTTATTGATAACAAATCTGAGGACAGGTAAAATTCTGTGACTGGCCTAACTAAGCTTTGAACAACCAACACTAGAATGTGGGTCTCTGGTCTCAGCCGACTCTTTTTTCCACTCTACACTGTTGACTTCAGGAATCTAATTAGGTTGCTCTAATGAGGCCAGCAGAATCCCCTGCAGATTCTAAGCAACATGACCTAAGTGTCACTTAGGGAAAGAGCAGGCCCAGGAGATATTTTGATAACTACCTCCCCCACCCGATGCATTCCTTCCCAACCTGGCGTGGTCCCCTTGTTCTTTCTCCAGCCCTTGCCTCTGGGGAATTGAGAGGTCAGTGAAGAGGGACAGGTAGATCTCCCTGTACCTATAAAACCATAAATATCTAAGATAACCCACAAGATCCTCTTCCTCCATCTGGAAGAGGCTGGTGGAGAAGAGTGGCAGGAAGGGATCAAATTAACCCGAGGGATGTCTGACCTGATTAGGCCAAGAGTATCTGTTATGGGCAGTTAGATGGGTTATCTGAAGGTTCATGACAAAGGGCAATAGGATTTGTATCTATCAGGGACCTTTCAAAGATCAATGTTGGCCCTGGTCAAGTAGCTTTAGTTGATTAGAGCATCATCCCCATACACTAAGGTTGCGGGCTCGATCTCTGGTCAGGGCACATACAAGAAGCTACCAATGAATGCATCGGTAAGTGAAACAACATATTGATGCTTCTCACACACACTTTCTCTCTCTTCCCCCCTCCTTCCTCTCTCTCTAAAATCAATAAGTAGAAATTAAAAACAAAGAGATCAATGTTGAAGGGATTATCTCAGCATCAGGAGCAGAAAGCGCTGAGTAAAAGATTCAAGGAATCAATTATTTAGTGTGCATGACCCAGTTCCAGGAGATAAGGCTGGGTGAGAAGAAAACTCACCGGTTCCTTATCATAGCAAGAAATTCAAATACTTCACAGCATAGAGTTCCCTTACTGCCAAAGAGGATCCATTTATGGTTAAGTCAGGCAAAAAAAGGGGGGGATTAAAACAGCCAAAGTTCACTTATTCAACAAATATTTACTGAGCTTCTCTTAGGTCCTACACCCTCCAGGGATTTACATATGGTTGGAGCATAGTAGAGTAGAAAGATTATTGAATTTGTAAACAGGAGGCTTTAGCTATGTCCCATCTCAGGCCTTAGGCAGCTACCTTAGCCTGGGCAGGTTACAGCCTAAGTCAAATTTCTTACCTGTGAAATGGGAGTAAATTTACCTGCCTTGTTACGAGATAAAATGATCTTTGTAAATGTAAATTGCAACATAAACTTAAGGTGTGAACAATAATGATACAACATCACACACTTTCCCTGCCCTAAAACTTTAGACGTTATAACCTGATCATGTTCTGGAAAATAATCCAAGGTACCTATTAGGAAAACATCACATTCTCTGTAATTTGGGCAAATTGTATGTCTCAACCTGCCAGTTGGGATGGGGCCTGTGGTCAGTCCCAGCCCCTCAGTCTGTATGCACAAGAAGGGGCACAGTAGCCAGCACCTGCCCGGTCCTGTATCAAGCCTGGACTGAACAAATGACCCAGGACAGCCCTGAGATTCAAGGGGTGGGGAGACCAACTGGAAGTGTAGTTGATCAAAACAACAAAAGAAAAATTCACTAGAGCACAATAGGGATAAGCCAGCCAGAGATGCACACACCTCCCTCTTCCTACACATTTCAGACAATGATGGGATTCACTGTCCTTTGCCTGACTCTCCTCTGTGGACATACTCTACATTGTGTTTCTCTGGGAACCCGGAGGGACTCTCGGGCCACAGCAGACTGGCTAAGTAGGACCTCTTTGCTCAGACAGTACAAGTCAGCATTGCTGGGCAGCTTTCCCCTTGGTCCAGTCAGCCTGCCTCATTCTGCTGGTCAGCATTCCCAGCATGGACTCCCCACCCCCATGGATCCTCCACGCCCACCAGGCCAGCCTCCAAATGCCCAGATGTGCCTGCCTGCTGCCCCTCCCTTGGGGCCAGCACCAGGCTCCCACCTCATTGGTCAGACCCTGAGGCTCTCCCCTCACGCTTTCCTCTCCTTCCTCCCTCTCCCAACACCCTGCCCTGGTCTCACATCTCTAGGGAAGCTCCTGGAGCACAGGCCCAGTTTTATGCACTTCTGCATTTCCTCTCAGGGTGGTCACTAAGTTCTTGCCCCTCCTGTCCACGGAGAATGATGCTCCCAAATGTTCTCTGATGGTTGTATACAGGAGGGAGGCAGAGGAGGGGTGGGGAGCAGTGGAAAGAATGCTAGGCTAGAGGTCCAGAATCGGCATTACTATCCTCCGTTTGGTACCAGTTAGTTATGTAACCTTGAGAAAGCATCTTTAGGCCAGGCCTCAGTTTCCCTATCCAGTAATGAGGGGTTTGTTCTAAATTATCTCTTGGGTTCTTTTATAATTATAATTATAAAATTTGGTATTACAGAAACCAGACTAGCCTGGACCACAGGAGATGTGGGTCCCAGTCCTTATTAGGCTACAGCCTGGGGCGAGCTGGCTGACTGCTCAGACTTCAGTCTCCAAGTCTGCAAAACAATGAGAATGATATGACCTCCCTCCCCAGGGTGCGAGGCTCCCAGGAGACATTGAGATAGAACTTTGTCAATCGCAAGCCCTGAAGAAACCTCAGGCTTTGAACTCCTCGAGTTAACAAACAGCTGTTGCCCCCAGTCAGGTGCCCGGTGCTGGAATGCTGGAGGTGCTGCTCGGCTCAGACGGGAAGGTCGGAGGGCAGGTGTGTGCCCTAAGGCACTCACAGCTGGTGGGTGAGATGGACAAGGGACCAACCCTACCTCAGCCAGTGATGCACCTGAGGTCTGGACAGAGTGCCATGGGAGTGTAGAGGAGGAAGAGGTGCCACCTTTGCCTGGGGCCTGAGGGAAGCTTCTCACAGGGAACAGGGAGTCCCAGAAGCAGAGATGTGTTCCAGGAGTCGGCGGCCTGGAGCCAAGGCAGACAAAAAGGGGAGGCAGAAAACAAGGCTGGACTGTGAGGCTGAGGCCTGACCGGGGAGGCCTTGAAGGCCAACAGCAGAGGGCTGGTCAGACAGGTCTTCGAGGGAGGAGGTCTTTGGCAGCATTGCCAAGGACAGAGCAGGGGGACGGAGCAGAGCTGGAGGGGACAGTGGGAAGGCTCTGACAATGATAGTTCATGAGGGTGACTATGTGACAAACACATCATTACTGATTTCTGCCTATACCTTAGCCTTTTAGACCCTAAGCCTCCATGGACCCGCAGAACCTCCATAAAAATGTAAACAGGTTCATTCTCCCCAGAATGAAACCCAAGCTGAGGAAGATGCTGCAATCACATTTTTAAACCTTGGACAAATGGTCTACAGTGCTCTGATGGCACTCCCTACAGAAGCTGCCCAGCCAGATTCTTGCCTTGGCACCCATCAGGGCCAGCAGCAGACTGAAGCATAGTCGGAGCTTGGACCGGAGTCAGGACGGATGAGCTGCTGGGCTTACTTAGGGAAAGAAGGGACAGAGGATGCCCAGTGTCCACTGAGTTAGGTCTTTCCTGTGCCCAAATACATCTGCCTCTACCCCTGCCTCCCTCCCTCCTCTAACAATCTCCTTGTGCAGGCTGAAGGCAAAAAGAGAGCTTTTTCACTAGCCATTGTTTTTCAAATGGGCTCATATTAACTTGGGCATGTAGGAAAAGTGCAACAAGCATCTCTACATTTTCCAAAGCCTGAAGCCAGCCCCTCAGGAGCCACTCAATGGCTCAATAAAGGAACCCCCCCACACACACTATGACGTACTCACTTGATTCTTAGGCATCGCAGTGAATGAAGTTGCTTCCTTCCAGGGCGAGCCTCACACAGATTGCCATGTTCCTTTGAAAACAAGAGCCCCACAATGAATGCTACGTTACCTTACGTTACACCCTCCTATCTTCTCCCCACCAAGAGGGGCCATAGCCTTGTGTGCTTTGCCCCTTCGTAATACTTGTCCCAACAGGAGGAAAAGGTAAAGAGCTGTGAGATGGTCAAACAAATTCTATTGTCTGCAACTGTCTGGGCACCCTAAAGGCTTTGCACACCTCTGCACAAGGGCTTGCTGAGAAAGTAAGACAGTATGAGAAAAAGTGCTTTATTAGGCACTTCAGTAGAGTCAGAAAATGCCAGAATTTCTAAGCCTTGGACCTGATATAAGTCAATTCAGCCAATGTAAACACCTCATAACAAGTCACCAATGTGAAATGTGTCCCATTTCCCACGATGCAAAGGTCTAAAACACTGAATACACTAGGAAGTCATACAAGTGAGCCATCTGTTCGTGGCCAAGTTTCTAAACAAATTATTATTTCCGCTTCTGATGACCACCCAAATGATTTGGTTACATCTACTGCTTCTGCAGACAATGCCTCTGCACCTGTTTGGAAAAGGGAACCCAGAGTTACAAGGCATTTCTCCCATCCAAGTACTAACCAGGCTCTACCCTGATCATTTCTAAGGGTTTACTCCCACAATTCTAAATTTGGGAAAAAGAGGTGACCTCAGGAAGACAGAAGCTCATGCAGACATGCAATGTGAGATCTGCAAGAGGTAATACCCACACTCCTGGGACGTACACACTCTTGTTCAGCAGGGTGGTAAGCCTATTCAACCACATAAACACACATGTTCTCGCTAATATACAAAGATCTGCATTTAAAGCCCAGGGCTTGGGACTCGCTGTTCGGAATTTTCAGACCATTCATGGTAGAGAAGCTACCGTGTCCTGAGCACTGGCCATGCGTGGAACCAGCACTGTTAAAGACTAGACCTGCTTTGTCTCAGTGGCTCCTCACACACAGGAACACAGGCTTGGAGAGCAGCCAGCCCCACGGCATGGCAGCCCTAGAGCCCAGGCCTTGGCTGACCCAGGTATGAGGTGTGCAGCTGTAATGGGCCCACACACCCCATGAGTGGCCTGGCGGGCTTGAGGACAGCCACCTGGGCAGAAGCTGCCATCATCTCTCATCATCATTATCAAGCCACTCCTCCCCAGCCCGGGGCAGTTGACAAACAGGCTGGCCTGCCTTGGCCACATTCTATCCACCTGAGCTGCAGGCTCTGTGTAGTCACCTGTAGCCAGAAGTCAGGGAGGCTGGAGGTCTCTACTTCTCTGTCCCCTGCTTCTCCAGGGAAGCTTCTCAGTAGAGTGGGTGGGAGATTACTGGACCATCACTGGTCTTATCAGGTTCGAGAATCAGGGACCTCCCCGTGCTCCCTTGATCTCAGGAACCGAAGCCCTTACCCACCCAGGGGCACAACTAAGACCCGCAGCAGAGAAGCATGAGCTCTCTGACGTCCTGCATGGGTTGTCTGCATTGTGGGTGCAGATGGGCATTTCTGGACCAGCCTACAGAGGCTGACTACCGGTCAGATTCCCACACAGGCCTGAGTACATGGTGATCTAGCCACTCCAAGTACCAACTAAGAGCTTCTGTCTGACCAACAGCCAAACATGCTTTGAGCTCCCTTTAATTCCACTAAAACCGGAAGGTCCTAGAGCCCAGGACCATCCCTCCCCTAGGGAAGCCTCAGTTTCTTCATCTGTAAAATGAGAAGCTTGACCTAATTGGTGATTTCCTCATTAAGGACCCCTTATAGCTGTCCTCCTCCATGGGCCCTGATTTTTAGAGACATCCACAAAACTAGTCAGTCCTTTAAAGGAAGGACAGGGGTTAATCCATGTGCAGGCATTGCAATGGGTGGTTAGCATTTGCTATTTCAGATACTCTTTCCAGCAACCTGATAAGTCAGGTAGTAAAGTCATGTCATGGCAGGGGGGGTGCTGGGGCAGGACTGAGGCATGGTACAACCTGGAGACTCACTCAGCGCTGACCACAGTAGCCTGGGACTCATGGCTGAGCGACATGGGGCATGTCCTGAGTCCATGCCCATGCTCATTCCCTGACACAATGCTCCCCTTTGTAATCAATCAGAATGAACAAACAATTCTCCTCTTGAACTTGCTGTCATGCCAGCCCCAAGCGAAGGAGCATGAGGTCTCCAGGCCCCTGTGGGCCTGACCTGCTGTGCAGGAAAGGTTTTCTGTGAGCCTGAATGGATCTCGAGGAGCATAGCAATTTGGAGGGACCAGGACCTTCCTGTCTGCTGTCCTCCAAGCCTAACTCCATAAAGGTGAGGTCTTCGCTACAGGACCCCAAGCACTTGGAACAGGGCGTGGCACCTACTGGGCACTTCATCGATATTTGACATATGGAGAAATGAAGAAATCCAGAACTCTGATGCACTGAAAGCTTATTCAGGACCCTTTGGTGTGAGTTAGTGTGAAATACACCAGGACGAGCTCAGAATCACAAAGCCAGCCCCTCAGCAGCACACACCAAGCAGGGGTCTCCACACCCATCTCCCAGACAGAGAAGATAAAGGTACAGATGCTGAGTCAAGTCTGCTCTTCCTTGCAGTCACCAGGGGAGCTTCTAATAGAGCAAGACAAGAGTCTGAATGCAAAAGCTACCCACTGAAGTGGTCCTGAGTTCAGGCCCTGGAATCAGGCAAACCTGGCTTCCTACCCCAGCTCTGTCTCTTTAAGTGAGTCAGGTGACCCCTGGATAAATCACATAATCCACATGAGCCTCAATTTCTTACCTAAAGATACGGATGTTAGTGCCTACTCCATAGGGCTGTTCTGAAGATGAAAGGAGATAATGCTGTAAAGGACCTAGCCTGGTGTGTAGTTCAGAGTAAGTGCTTGGAGCTGACATCTGTTGTTATTGTCTGCATCAGAGTGGGTGGCTAAGAGCACATCTGGAGCCCTCTGCTTGGGTTTAATCCCACCTCTCCTATGAGCTAGCTGTGTGGCTTCCGGCAAATTGCTTAACCTTTCTGTGCCTCATTTTCCTGGTATGTAAAATGGGGTGGATTGTGAAGATGAAATGAGTTATACAGGTAAAGAGTATAGAATAATGTCTGGCACAAAGTAAGCACTCAATAAAAGTCAGTATTATTCTTACTTATTAATAATATTAGTGTCCTTCTCCCTTTGTTCTGACAACAGATTTTGCCCCACCTTCCACTCCCCAGACAGAAAAGTAGGCATGGACTCAAGGTAGGTTCATCAGAGTATTTTCCCTCCTTGTCCACACTCATGGGTACAAAGGGTGGGCACATGCTTCATGCTGGGAAAAGTTTCAATCTGAAAAATCCTAGGGGAGGCCTAGTCCACTGGAGACGCGTGGGGGGTCTGCTGGGAGCTATCTGAGCCCCAGGCCACTGAACAGCAGGAGCCATTCCTGGGGAAGCCGAGGTCACCTGTTCTCTTCCTGGGGCTAAACTCGAGGGGAGGCCTCCTTTGCGCCTCCCCTAGAACATTCCATGGTACCTCATTTTTGCTTAAGTTCATTCAAGTTGCGTTCCTGTCACTTAACACCAAAAGATTCCTGACCAACAAGAGCACTCAATGACTAGATTGACTGGATGCTTCACCATCACTAAATGCCACCCAAGGAAAAGCCAATGTGCGCAGCAAGGTGTCTCTACAAACTGAAGTGAAAGGAGGTCACTTCAAGCCCCTGGACCAATCCCCTTCCTGAGAGGGGAAGATGCTGAAACCGAAACAATGAACAGCGCAGTCCCACGATCTCCGGCTGGGAATCCAGCCACAGATGTGAATTCCTACTGCCATGAGAACTAGGAGAGGGGAAGAATTGAAAGGAGACTGGAACTGAATTCACTGCGTTCACAGTGGCCCAGGAAAAAATCCTGTGGAAGGACAGTGGGTAAGGGAAGAGAAATGCCTTGTCTGAGCCCTTCAATGTGTACCAGACTCTCTCACTGGTACAATCACACCTCACCTTCAGCACAGCCCTCGGAGCTAGAGGTTCAGCCAACCCATTTTATAGTTGAGGAAACTGAGGCTCAGAGAGCTCAATAACTAACTTGCAAGCTCATATCGCTAACAACCAGTACGTGCCCTGACTGTCACGCTGCCGCCTCGGCACACTGATCCCTGAGCCGGAGGCCTCTTCCTCACACGGGATGTCTGCTGCCACTCACACCTGTGCTCAGACCCACCCAAGGGAGAAGGGGACGTGCTGCTGCCCCTAATCTACAACAGGCAACTCCACGCTACCCAGAGACGGCCTTCAGAGGGAAGGGGTTGCCTTGAGGAAGCTCTGCGGACACCCACGGTGCATCCTGGGGCACGGACATTGCACATTGTCTGGACATGGGTAATTTTAATCTCCGAGAGTGTCAGCGCAATGTTAATGAGGTGGCATTGAACTGGATATGCCTGTCAGAATCCCATGGGGAGATTTTTCAGAGGTTTTTGTTCATTTTTGTTTCTTTCTTGGAAGCTTAACCAGAAGATTCTGACTTAATAGGTACAACAATGCCTGACACATAGCATTGTGCTTAACAACGTCATCTTTGTCTCATTTCTCCTCTTTCTGGGCCACCACCCAAAAGTGGTCTGTTCCTACACCCCCAGGCCTTCTAATAGCACCCCCCTCAATTCCCTCCAGGAAAAGGAGCTCTACCTTCAGGTGTGTTTAAAGGATTTTAGAGAAGCAAACCCCTGGCCTGGCAACCAAAACAAAGAACCAAACCACACTGATGGCCTCCCTCTCCTGCAGCCGTAGGCATGGGGCGGACACTCCGATGAGCTCCCACAGCCATCTGCTTCCACCTGTCCCTGGGGCCACACTGAGGTCTGCACAGGTGTAGGCTGAATAACCAGTGGGGTGAGGATGCTGCGGACACACACTCAGCCGGCACCAAAGGAGACTCATCCAGAGAAGAAAGTGGCAGCTTCCAAAGTTTGCTGGGGGAAAACTGGAAACCACTATCTGAAATGATGGGAAAATCTCCCGACCGCAGTC